AGTAGTTTGGACATGGCTCACATGGACAAGAACCTAGTGGGGCTCATAGACCACTGTCAAACAATTATGGCATAGGAAGTAGATTTACTTCCACCATAATTTATACCTAAACTGTGTGTTTCTGCATAATAACCTGTAATATAGTATAATGAGACCATCTTATTTTTTTAGGTCAGTAGAAGAAAGATCAATTAAAGGTAAATAATTACATATTTTCAGAGAAGCAGACATTGATTTCTGTGAAGTTTAGTTGCACAGGGTGGGTAGTTATATTGCAGAGGTGTGCCACTTTCCAGACCATTTAAATATTTTATGGTGAATGAAATGCAATTACAAATATTATCACTAGAAAGTACTTCTAATGTCCTATTGGTGTGTCTGTTCATCAACTGTTCTTTGCTTTTCAAATCTAAATAGGTTTATTTAGCCTGTGTAAACAGACAGCAGATGAGGCATATAATAAACACGGGATGCAGATGCATTTAGAATACACAAATAGGATGCTACATGCAGTGCCAGTTCATATACATAAGGCATATGATGTCACATGTATGTACTTCAGGATTCCTCATACTGTCCATTTACCCAGTATGAAAATTAGCCACTAATGGTCTGTTGAGGATTTTTTAAAAACTATTTTGATTCACTAGATTTCAACTTATAGTAAAACTGGGCTAACCTTTTTATTATGGCATACTATAATACATTGACATACAAACTCTCACTTCATTTTATTTGTGATGATATTTAATCTTTTTATTCAAACAAAATCATAAAAGACCCTTAAGGCACTGAGCAGATTGTGATGTTGATTTTTGCCTGATTAACAGGCCATACTATTTGGCAAGATATTTCTAAAAAGCAAAGAAAAGTTGATGAACACAGACAGCAAGTGCCATTAGCAGAACCTTTCAGCGATAACATTTGTAATTGCATTTCACTCACTAAGAATATTTAAATGTGCTCACATGACACCCTGTACCAATTATTCAGAGGACTGACTTTAGAATCATAGCATATACTTGAATTTCACTCTTGTTTGTAAAGTCTTTTCAGAATTGATGATATGTCAGAGGTGTCACACCAAAAAGAGATTTGAATAATCCTGGCTGTGAGTTAGTTGATAATGAATGTCTAACTAATTACAATTTAGTTTTAATTAAAGTCATTTTACTATTTATTATGTTCTACAGTTTAAACAACTAGACTAATTAGATCTTTTTAGATCACCACATCTGTCTTGCACAGCTACATTGACACCATATGAGAAACAAATATTTAAAGATGAAAAATATTGGTCTGGCTTTTTCCAGACTAAGCTTTATAGCCGTCATTGTATACCATCTCATTTTGGACCTTTTTTAACCCCTTCCTGACCGTCGTTAATGGCCTCGAACATACCTGGACCGGCAATCCGTGGCGATCCCGGTCCCACTGCAGCAGCTCTGGCCACCCCAGTCCTCCAGGGCCACAACAGGAGTCTATGGAGCTGCCAGCAGGGGGACTGTCTGAGCTGTCAGGCAGTCCCCCAGACATCTAAAAGGTTAAAGTAAAAATAAAATAATAAAATAAATATATATTATATATGTATAATATACTGTAAAATTATTAAATAATGTATTATACATATATAATGCATATATATGATTTCATTACAAGTGAACTTTGAGATATATACACATATCTCATATATCATATATACATATATAGGCAATAAAAGCATCTGTGTGTGTGTATATGTGTATATATATATATATATATATATATATATATATATAATGTGTATATATTTATAGATATATGTGTGTGTATATATATAAAATCCAAGGGATCCTGCACTCACTGTAATTAAGAAATTCTTGCCCGGTGCTTACCAGCATAAAATACAAAATATAGTAAGGTAGCACTCCCAGGACTTTATATAAATAAAATAAAAAATCAGCGTTTCAGTTTGTCACAGCAGACTTTCATCAGGATAAGCTTACTATAACACCAACAATCAGTATATAACAAATTATAAACTCTCCACATCTGCCGGCAGCCTGCATCCAGGGGGCAACCTGGTCCGTCCAAGCGCCTGACTCCATCCCCATCCGATGACGTCATCGTGCATGCATCCCCGACGTGCCGGGACGCTCCCCCAATCGCTGCCGTGGCAACCACCATAAACAAAATAAGAAAACATTGAAAAAAAGATCCACAGAATATGTCTGAGTTGTTTCCATACACTGGGCTAGAGGGCAGAACTTTAAGCAATCAGCCCATAATTTCTATATCTTTGGACCACTGCATGTATATTGTTTTCGTCCACTCATAGTGACTACCATTAATTACAAACAGATAATACAAATATGTATACCAAAGCCAATATGTGAAGCAGAGAAAACACCTAGAGGCCAGACTGACACTGATTAAACGTAAACCTTTTTGTAACTTGGGAAAATCGGATTTATACCTTGTACTCCCACTTGAGAAAACATTTCATTGTATAAAAGCACTTCTATGCCAGTGTTTGACACTTGTAGTTAATCTATTGTCAACCACTGTATAGTCTACAAACTAATATTCCAACCTTAAAGATCCACCAAAATTATGACACTATTAAACATATTTACATACTTGCATATTTACAATTTTGATTTAACAATAAAATAATCCATTTAGAACCCTGTCGACTGGAACCAGGCCTTATCCATATATACACACAGACACACACATATTATATATAATATAGTATAAATGTAAAAATAGAATATTTGAAAAAAGATGCACTCTACGGTCTTTATCAAGTGAAGTGGTACTTTAATCCATAAAATAGTTTACATCCATTCGATCGACGTTTCAACCTGTTCGGGTCTTCCTCAAGATCGATGTATTAACCTACTGTAAATCTATATATAAGAAAATTTTAAGTGTACTCACCGGTGGTGATGAACTCCCTCATGCCCTCAGTCCGAACCCGGAAGTGAGTGCCATGCGTCATGTGACATGATGTGCATAGAACGTGATGATGTGAACGTGGTTGCTAGGAAACCGATGTACATATAAATTAGAAAGACGGCCTATTCAATTCCGTGACCTAACATGAGAGTGCCCAGGGATAAGCTGTTACAAGCTGTAATACTGTATGATATGGTATTCCATATTGTAGGTGGTCAAATCGAATTAATAACTGCAGCAAGTGAACAAGTGCATGTGTGTAAAAGTGTTCATACCAAAAATTATAAGTGTGTTAGACTACGTGTCAAAGAGTGTCACACTAAGTGAAAATTATATCAGTAAGTGACCATAACCCAGAATTCTAAAAAGTATAACTAACATTAAAAATGATTGCACATGTCATGGACAGATTCAGCAAATATTTAAGCTATTCTGAATCACAGATTATATTCAAACAAAGGACATGAATCCAGTAGGACAGATGTGTGATTATCTAGAAGGAGAGATGTTAATCTACCTATAAATAACCTATAACTGAATTATTCAGGTAGAAAAGAGAGATATTCCAAAAAAATATCAAAAGAATCTATAGACAAGTTAAGGCAAATATTCAGAGAAACAGAGAGAATATTATGTTCTCATTGAGTTCTCTGGGTGTTACATTGCCCAGCCAATGTATCCAGTGTGCTTCACGTTGTAGTTAGTGATGTACCGAACGGTTCGCCGGCGAACGGTTCCTGGCGAACATAGCATGTTCGCGTTCGCCACGGCGTGCGAACATATGCGCGGTTCGACCCGCCCCCTATTCGTCATCATTGAGTAAACTTTGACCCTGTACCTCACAGTCAGCAGACACATTCCAGCCAATTAGCAGCACAGCCTCCCTAGCAGACCCTCCCACCTACTGGACAGCATCCATTTTAGATTCATTCTCAAGCTGCATGCTTAGTAAGAGGAGGGAAAGTGTAGCTGCTGTTCATAAGATAGGGAAAAGCATAGCTAGGTTAGGGATAAGGGTATGCTTTTTTTGGATTTTTTTTTTTCTATGTAATGTAAATGCACTTAGTTGTCTGCCACTGCTGCCAGCTTCTGTGTCAGGCTCACAGTGCCCATTTCCCCAGTCAGTGCCACCAATTACATCTGGTGTCACAATAGCTTGGATTTAAAAACAAAAAACTTTTTTCACTGTTATAGATTGAATAGCAGTCAGTTGTCTGCCACTGCTGCCAGCTTCTGTGTCAGGCTCACAGTGCATACTGTGCCCATTTCCCAGTCAGTGCCACCACTTACATCTGGTGTCACAATAGCTTGGATTTAAAAACAAAAAACTTTTTTCACTGTTATAGATTGAATAGCAGTCAGTTGTCTGCCACTGCTGCCAGCTTCTGTCAGGCTCACAGTGCATACTGTGCCCATTTCCCCAGTCAGTGCCACCAATTACATCTGGTGTCACAATAGCTTGGATTTAAAAACAAAAAACTTTTTTACTGTTATCAGTGTCCTTAAAGCGGGTGTGTTACGCTAACAGTGGATGCGCTGACAAGTGCCACTAATTAGATCTGGTGTCACAATAGCTTGGATTTAAAAACAAAAAACTTTTTTTACTGTTATAGATTGAATAGCAGTCAGTGTCCTTAAAGCGGGTGTGTTACGCTAACAGTGGATACGCTGACAAGTGCCACTAATTAGATCCATGTCACAATAGCTTGGATTTAAAAAATAATAATCTTTTTCACTGTTATAGATTGAATAGCAGTCAGTGTCCTTAAAGCGGGTGTGGTACGCTAACAGTGGATACGGTGACCAGTGCCACCACTTAGATCTGGTGACACAATAGCTTGGATTTAAAAACAAAAAACTTTTTTCACTGTTATAGATTGAATAGCAGTCAGTGTCATAAAAGCGGGTGTGTTACGCTAACAGTGGATACGGTGACCAGTGCCACCACTTAGATCTGGTGACACAAAGCTTGGATTTAAAAACAAAAAACTATTTTTACTGTTATAGATTGAATAGCAGTCAGTGTCCTTAAAGCGGGTGTGTTACGCTAACAGTGGATACGCTGACAAGTGCCACTAATTAGATCCTGTGTCACAATAGTTTGGATTTAAAAAAAAAAATAATCTTTTTTCACTGTTATAGATTGAATAGCAGTCAGTGTCCTTAAAGCGGGTGTGTTACGCTAACAGTGGATACGCTGACCAGTGCCACCAATTAGATCTGGTGTCACAATAGCTTGGATTTAAAAACAAAACACTTTTTTCACTGTTATAGATTGAATAGCAGTCAGTGTCCTTAAAGCTGGGTGAGTTACGCTAACAGTGGATACGGTGACCAGTGCCACCACTCACTGGTGTCATAATAGCTTGCATTTAAAAACAAAAAAC